AGCCGAGGCGGCCGGGGATGCGGGTGCTCGGCCGCAAGCGGAGCTCCCACGCCCAGCCCGCCGCGGGCATCGCGCCGCGCCCGCCGGTAACGCCAGACCGTTTGCGGTGCCCCTCACCGCTGGCTCCGCCCCTGGCTGGCAGGCTCCGCCCCCTAGCGGGGACCCTCTGATTGGCCGACTCGCAGCGTACCCGGCACCCCGGTTCGAACCCAGGGCTCGCGCTGCGAGGGAAGCCTTCGCCTCCGTTCTGTCCCGGCTGTGTGGCTCGGCGCAGACCAGCGTCTGGCCTCAGTTTCCCCATAGGATGTAGCTGCCGTGGTGCCCGAGAAGCTGCAGGCTCGGCGGTCGCGTCTGCCCCGCGACGCCGGGCCATTTCCCCGCCCCCGCCCCGCCGCGGCGTGGGAGGCGGCGCCCTCTGCCGGTAGCCGAAGGTTGGCCCCAAAGTGCTAACCGCGCGGGCAGCGGCATCCTCCGAGCAGGGCCAGAGGCATACACCCGAGACACGGCCAGGGAGGGTCAAGGGGATCCGTTGAGGTCTGCCGGTCCTCTCCACGCAGCGTGGGGACACTGGTAACCCCACTCCACGCCGAAATTCCAGACCTGTATCCCACGAGCCCTCCCGACCCCCCAAAACAGCTCTTGGCTGAGATCACATGTGGTCCCGCCCCTTCTGTTACCCCGCGCTGACTGCCCTCTACCCAGGCTGTGTCCTCTAGTGGTAGCAGGGGCGCCCCTGGAACCATCCTGAGCAGACAGGCACCAGGCCATGGGCGGAGTGTAGCCTCCTGGCTGCGGTAGGTAAAGCTCGTTTCTAGCCTGTCCGCAGCGTGGTGGTGGCTGCCAGGACCCAGACTCTTCTTGCTCCTGACCCCAAAGACTCCCAGTTTTCAAGTTCTTAGCAAAGGTCGAACGAATTTCACTTTGCGGAGGAAATTGCCAACCTGGCAGTTTGGTAAATGCCAAGTCTTTTTCTCCAGCAGGTGCAAGACAACGTGTCGCCGCCAGAGGGCAGCAGTGACCGCCCGCGGACCCAGAGACAACAGCCGAGCTGGGAAGGAGAGGCCAGATTCTTAGGTGGGCGCCCTCTCCCATCGCTGGGCGGAGGATCTTCTAGGTCAAGGGCCCCGTTGATAAATGCACAGCCATCGGACGTTCCTTTTTTTGCAACATGTTTATTCAGAAGCAACTGTGTTCCTGCCTGCCCAGAGCTGAGTCTTGGGGGCAGCCTTCTGATGGAGTTGGGGAGATGCAGAAGAACTTACCTTTACAACTGGCCCCAGGCTGTGCACCCAGGACCCGAGCTTGGGGAGGGACAGGGACAGGGAAGGCAGGAGGCTGTGCAACTGGCAAGGGGCCTGTGGAGAATTCCGAGAAGGCTCCAGCAGCCGGCTTCACCACACCCGCCCGCAGGAGGGCGCCTACTTCCCTCAACATCCTGAGACTCCCTAGTGAACTGGGCACACTGCGGTGAACCTAGCACTCAAGAGCTTGGGGCACGAGGATTGCGGCGGCATTCCAGGCCAGCCTGGGCTACATGGTGAGCTCAAGGCCAGCCTGAACTGCATAGTGAAGCCCCGTCTCAAAAAGACCAAAGAAAAAAAAAGCCCTCGGTCCTCAGTCCTCACCTCCTCCACCTGAGAAATGGGCTCTGTGCTCTGTGACAAACTGCTCAAAACCAAAGGCAGAAGACAAGCAAAAGCAGCAGCTTGGCCGGGTGTAGGCAGAACAGCTGCCGTTGGCCCCCACCTACCAGCCCACCCAGCCCTGGCCGCCAGACCAGGAGGCTGGCAGAGTCCCAGTCCGCGCCGGCCCGGATCATGTTTGATTTGGACCCTGCTCTCATGCTGATGGTGAGGCTAAATCTGTAGCTAAAAATACCCAGGAGCCCAGCCAGCTGCTCCGAGCTTCCTTGGAGGCCAAGCGGGCGCAGGAGCTGCAAGGTGCCCTGGGGTCCCTCATCGAGCTCTTGCTCACCTCAGGGGTCCTGGAGAGGCCCGGGATGGCGGGCTGGTTCCCGCCGAGAGATCTGCTGGGGCCCAGGAACCTCAGCGTGCTGCCAGGTGGCCCTTGCGGGGGGAGCTCATGTGTGGTCACCTCAGGCCTGCGCGCAGGGAGGCCAAGGGGGACACCAAGCTGGCGGAGAAGCAGGGCAAGGCCCAGCCAGCGCAGGTCGAGGGGGCTGCTGGCACCCACTCCCGTGCATGTACATCAATTATTTAACCATCTGCCCGGCTGGTGGGAGAGAAAGACCCCAGCCCCAGACAGGTGCCTCAACACCACAAGCTGCCCCCTGGAGGCCCCAAGACGGCCAGTGGCCACCAGGCTCCCTGGGACACCAGGCCACCTATCGACAGGTCCCTCCCGGCCCCAGCAGCCACCAGCACTCGGGGGCAGTCACTTCCACAGCCACTTGGGGGCTGAGGCAGCCGGGGAGGCCAGGAGTCCGAGCCCCGGGCAACAAGGCAAGGTCCTCTGTCTGCAGCAAGACTTTAGAAGCAGCTCACAAGGTGAGCACCCAATTCTCTCCTCCCACGCCATGGGCAGGAGCTTGCTGGGGGCACAGGCAGCTGGGCAAAGAACAGGGCAGCTGCCTGGACAGCGGTCGGACGCCTCTCCTCGCCCGGCAGCGGCAGCCGTCTCCACCCACAGGGTCCTAAATAAAAGTCAAATTCCAGGATTCAGCTCCCACTGGAGGCGCCGGAAGGGGCGGGGACAGCGGCGACTCAGTAGTAAGACTGGTCAGGCCACCTCCCAGCCCGCCGCCCTTCCGCTGGCGTGGCGCTCTCCCTGCAGGCCACGGCGGCCCCGCCCCGGGCTCCGGAGTCCCCCGGGGTCAGGAGGAGGAACGGCAGGACGGCCTGCCCGCCCCGCCCTCGCGGCCCCAGGACGCGGGTGGGGGTGGGGAGGCCAGGGACAGAGAGGAGGGCGGTGAGAGCCGCCAGCAGGTACAGGCCTCCACCTAGGGCCGGCCCCTGCCCCCTCCAGGCTGGAGACAAGCCGGTCACGCAGCCCGGGAGGGGAAGACAAACCCTCAACCCCGAGCGCAGGGGCCGGAGGTAAAGACCCCGCCCGGGGCTGTATTCCGGGCGGCACACCGCAGGCTGCTGAGAGGAGCTCGGCGAGGTCGTCCACCGGGAGGGCGCAGCGAGGTCTGCGGGCGCCAGCAGCGGGGCCTGCCTCAAGCTCCTCCCTCCCTGGAGCTGGGGCGCAGCAGAGCGCACCTTTTCTTTAGCAAAGGACAGTGGTCACCGGACACCCGGCCGGGAGCCAGCAGCACCACGCAGGCCACTTCCGACCTCGCAGCAAACGGCCAGGGTTGCCAAGAGACGGCTGGCCCGGGCGGGGGGAACCCAAAATAACCCAGACAGCTGGGGCCAGGGGGTGCCGTAGGCACGGGCGCCAGGCTGCAAGTCAAGACACCTGGAGCTCGTCCTGCTCGTGGTGGCCTCGTGACCTGAGTCATTTCTTTGGGGGCCAGGAATGGGTGATCCCAAAGCAGCCGACTCCCAGCTACTCGGGAGGCGGGGCCGAGCGGGCTGCCAGCCCCTCCCCCCTGCCCGGAGGCCGTGCCACGTGCCCGGGGGGGCTGATCGGGGAGGGGCTGGTCGGGGAGGAGCTCCGCCGACAGCCCAGCCCCCACCCGCGGCCACGCCCAGCGCCGAGCTCACAAAGGAGGTCCCGAGCGCGGCCGCTCGGAGGCCGGCCCCGTAATCGCACTTAATCCTCCACCGCCCTTCCTAGCACCACCACCCATCATTTTCGGGGGAGACGCCGCCCAAGGTCACCGGCACCAGCCACATTCCACGGGGCAGCCTGACTTAGGCCCCCTGGATCAAGCACCCAGGGGTCTCCGATAAAGCCTGTCGGGCTCCCCCAGGCCCCAGCTCCGCGCTCACGCTGCCACCGGGGGCGAGGGGGCAGGGCAGCAGCGCGATGGGCGGCACCTGCAGCCGAAAGGCTCATCAAAGTAATCGCCAACGAGGGCTCCCGGGGGCCAGGGGGCAGAGATCAAGGGCCACACCGCCTCCAGCTGCCGAGCTTCCCGGCGCGAGGAGAGGGCCAGCTCCGGGAGGGCGCCTTGTGTTACAGCGCGCGCCACCCGGCCCGGAGGGGCTCCAGACACTGCACCTGGGGCCTGTTGGAAAGCCAGGTTCTCGGGCTCCACCTGCTGAACCCAGACTGGCGGCCAGGGACCGAATTCACGAGACGGATTCTGATCCGGCCCCACTTTGTAGTTGGGGTTAGCTGGGGCTCACGGGACCAGGCAGCTTACGCAAGGCCAAGGTCTCACAGGCCGGCTGGCGGAGCGCGGAAACCGGGCCACACGCGCCTGCCCCTGTGGGCAGGCGGAGGAACCTGGGAATCCCAGGACGGGGGAGGACAGGCAAGGAAACCTCTTTTCTCCAGGAAAGCGGGCCCGCATCTCCGCTTCTTCTGTTCTTTGCTTCTCTAGCAGCCAGGCACAGAGGGCGGTTCTCTAGTCACCCCAAACGCTCCCGCTGGGGCCCGGAAGGGTGGGCTGCGGCCCGGGCTTCCTGGCAGTGGCCTGTGCCTTTCAGGAGGAGGAGGCGCCGCAGGCCCGCCTCCCCCCACCACAAAAACGCACCACTGGAAACACTAGCCTGCCGGCCTCTAGTAAGGAGCTAAATTCGGCAGAGAATTGCCCGCCCTAAACGCTTGACAACAGAAGCTGACAGGCGGGGTTGGAGGGACCCAGCAGGCCGCCGGTTTCACACACACAGCCGCCGCATCTGTGCGGGGGAGGGGCTGCAGAACCAGCCCAGCAGGTTCGGGGACAACCCGCCCTCCCCTGGGGTGCAGGCCAGAGCTCCCCAGTCGCCCTCACAGCTTGGCACAGGGCTGTCACCTACCTTTGATGGGAGGCTTGTCAAACTAGGCCTGCTCCTGCTGTCCAAGGGAAGGAAGGGCTGTCCACTCTGCGGGTACCCGGTTGTGCCCCTTCTCCGGCCAAGCAACTGGGGAAAGAATGTGCAAGGCCTGTCAGGGCAGCCCCCGGGTCGTGGGTCAGAGAATGTGACTGTCCAGATGCAGACCTGTCCGCGTCCTAGAAAGAGCCTCGCGAACGCCATCCCCCCTCACAGCTGCCAAGGCGGCCCTCACGCAGGGATGGGTTGGGGTGTGGGGGGGTGAGTCATGAAAGGTTCACCAGGGCGCGCGGCGGCGGGAGGCGACCCATCTGCGCTGCCACGGGCCCGCCCCGTCGGACCCCTCCCCCGGGAAGGCCGCGATCGGAGGCGCCACCTCGGGCCCCGGCCGGCTCGGGGGATTCCGGGGGAGGCCCCGCCGGCTTTCCCAGGCCCCAGCCCCCACCTTCAGCCGGAGGCCCGGGATGCAGGGGTGTGCCCCGGGCGGCCGAATGGGGCGTCAGCGGCCACCGCGAGGGCCTCCCTGCCCGAAGTGGGAACAAAAGGGGGGACCCGCCCCAGCGGCTCGGCCATCCCGGGGCGATCGGGAGGCGGGGCCGAGGGCAGCCGGGGGCGGCCTGGGTCAGGGCTGGGGGGCC